GGGGTCATCGGTGTGCACGCGGGAACGCTGCTTGTTGCTGGCGAGATATAGTGTTGGGGGCGTGAGAGACGCGGGGTCCGATTCGCGGTTGTCTAGGAGAGGCTGCTCCCCACCAGTGGGCCCTGCGACAGTTGCCGCGCCGCCGCCGCCGTCGGCCGCCGCCGGTCAGCTGTTGCGTTTTGGGACGGCGGCGCGGCGGCCGCGCAGTGTGCGCCGCCGCTACAGGCGTGTGAGGGCCGCGGGAAGTTCCGCGAAGATTAGATTATTGCGCCCGGAAGGGGAGAGAACCAGCCATCCCGGTCCCGGTGGTGGTGGAGAGCCCGACGCCGCCGACGGCGAGCCTTTCTCGCCCGCCTCTTTCCGCCCGCCGCCGGGCGCCCCTATTGCACCAACTCGCCTTCTCTCCTCGCCTCTCTCTAACTTCCTCATTGGCTCCTCCGCCCCTCTCTCCCGCCTCCACCCCGGGGGCTGGCCGCCCCGCCCCGCCCCGCCCCGGACTGCCCATGGATGGCTAGCACGGCCCGGCGACCCGGCTCGCCCGGCTCCCGGTCCCCGCGCTGATGGGGACATCCGGACGGTCCCGGCTGGGCTGCGAGGAGCGTCGCCAGACTGGACCCCTTCCCTTTACCAGAGCCGCACGGCAGGGGCGTAACGGCGTAACAATAGAGAGTGGCCTCATTTCCACTCCTCCCCTCGGCCGCGGGCAGCCCGCTCCCGCGCCGCTCCAGGTTGGGGGTTCGCCCCCGGAGGAAGCTGCACCGCTTAGACAGGCGTGCAGGAGGGGATGCGGCAGCATGCTCAGGGTGGACGCTGTGGATTGCCTCCCTGCTGTTTTTTGTACAGTGGCTTGCCTACCACCCAGGCGGCTTCTGAATGCTGGCGATCGCGTCTTTGCCCCCCTCCTCCCCTTCCCCCAATAAAACCCAGCGCCTCGGAGGTGTCTTGTGCCAAGCCGATTTATGTAGGGAGGAAGGGGCAGGCTGTGGTGCGGCCGCAGACGGACTCTTGGGCGCGGTGCGCTTCCTTCGCGTCCTTGCCGCGGTAGGGCCGTGCCGGCTTGACTTGGCGACCATAAGTAGGAGAAGGGGGAGGGAGAGGGGCTACCACGTGCAGGCCCCAGTCGCGGTTGCTGCCAGAGAGGCAAAGGCCCCCCCCCCGGTTGGCGGCGTGGAAAACGCCTTGCGTGGAGGACAATCGTTTTAATTGGTAATCCCTGTACATACGTTTGGGGTGATTGAAACTTGGAAAGAGAATACAACTATATCGGTGGTGGCCGGTATACGTTAGCAGCGTGACGACTTGGACAGTGGTAAGGGAGGGGGGGGGGGTGATAGGTGGTACTGACCCATTCTTTCCGTCAGCGTGCATCGCGTCTTTGTAGCCCCTAGTGCCTGACCTCTAGAGTAGGTACCTTACAAAAGGTTTAGCTTCTGGCTCACACTTCTGGGTAAATCGCGGAATGAACCGGTCATTTGCCGACGGGGCCTGATACATTTTCGCGAGTAAACTTGGTGGTGGTGGCGCCAGAGTGGATGTGGTGCGCCACGCTCCGCCCTGCCCGCGCCGCAGCTTGACGCCTCGCTATTTGTTGTTCCGCCCGAGGCTTTGGGCCCCGCGGCAAAAAGGTTTGGACCGCGGGCGGGCCGAGCCTCTGCGGCGCTCTGCTCTTCTTAGCAGAGCCTCTCTACGCTCCAATCCGCCGGGCGCTCTACAAGCTCAAGCTGCTCTACCCGTCCGGCGAGCTTGTGACCTCCCGCGCCCTTCTTACCCCAAGCCTCTCTTCCCTCCTGGCTCGCTTCTGAAGTAGCCTCTCTACGAGCTGCTCTCCTCTGCCCGCTTGGCCCTACCGGGCGCGCTTTTGACCCAGCTCTGGACGCGCGCCTCTCGGTGCCCGGCCGCGACCTCTCGACGCTTGCTTCCGAGGCGCACAAGCAGGCGTGAACCGAAACCGTGACGCGGCCGGCGCGGCGGTGTGCTCCGCGCTGCTCGGCGTGGACGCGGCTGTGACGTCAATGAGCGGCCCGGCCCCGCTGTCAGTCAGCCCCGTCTGTACTTTTGTCAGACTGCCAGGCTGCTGGCCGTGTCTGCTGCTGACGCACTGCCGTGTGCTCTCGCCGCCGCTGCCATGCCTCCTCACCGGTCTGGACACTGGACTCTGGCGAGAGGAGGAAACTGTATCGCTTTGCTGACGTCTGCCGGCTATCGCCCTCCCCTTTCCGCCCCGCCCCCGCTAGTGTTTGCCTCCGGCGTGCGTATGTCGGAGTGGAGGTGCAGGAGGAAGAGCGCGCGCGACGAGGAGTCGCACTGCGCGCTGGCTTTGTCGTCTGCTGCAATGCGTCGTCTGCTTGCTGTATTTGGGTCGAGGGCGTGGCGGGGAGCGGCGGCGCGGGGGCGGCGGTGGTCGCGGCAGCAGTGGCAGCGGCAGCGGCGTCATGTGTCGCTATCAGAGTGACGTGGGCCGTGGAGCCCACGTGGTCGCGCTGCGGAGCGGAGCGCGTAGAACGGCTGAGTGGATTACATTTGGGTGGGGGAGGGGGGGGGAGGATTCGGAGTCGTGGGGACGGGAGCTGGCCGCGCCGCCGCCGCCGCCACGCGGTCGC